CAACGCTGTTCTCGGCTCGAAGGCGACGTTTCGGGCTTGTAGAAAATCTGTCTCAAGGGGAAGTTTGTCGGAACGATTATTTTGTGTGCCTGGAAGTATGGTCGTAGGCGCCGCGCCGAGGTTATCAAGGCTAGAGCCAGCTTCTCAACACAGGGGTAACGAGCCTCGGCCTCGGTCAATGATTTGCTTGTGTAGTAAACAGGGCTCTGCCGTCCTTTCGCCTCCCTGATAAGTACTGAGCTCACTGCATTTTCCGACACTGCTAGGTACAGGTAAAGTACATCACCAGGCAGCGGCTTTGAGAACAAGGGAGCCGAGCTGAGGTACTGCTTCAATTGCCGAACTGCGACTTCACAATCGTCCGTCCATTCGAACCGATCCTTTTTCCTTAGTGTTTGGAAGAAAGGGTGGCACTTGTCAGTAGAGCGAGATACGAAGCGATTCAAGGCTGCCAATTGACCGTTTAACCTCTGTAGTTGCTTAATATTCCTCCGTGCCTCCATCTCGAGGACTGCTTTTATCTTGTCTGGATTTGCCTCAATTCCGCGTTCGTGGACCATGAACATGAGGAACTTTCCTGACGAGACCCCAAAGGCGCACTTGCTCGGGTTGAGCTTCATCTGATACTTTCGAAGCACGCTGAAGGCCTCTACTAGGTCGGCTAAATGGGAGCTCGTCTACTTACTTTTCACCAACATGTCGTCTACATATACCTCCATGTTGCGTCCGATCTGCTGGGCGAACATCATGTTGACCATCCGCTGGTAGGTCGCTCCGGCATTCTTCAAACCAAAAGGCATGACATTGTAGCAATACAGCCCTTGGTCGGTAACAAAGGCGGTATGCTCTTGGTCGGGCACATGCATCCGAATCTAATTATACCCGGAGTACGCATCCATGAAGGAGAGTAGCTCGTGCCCTGCCGTTGCATCGACGAGCTGATCTATCCGAGGTAGGGGAAAACTGTCTTTCGGACACGCCTTATTGAGGCTCCTGAAGTCAATGCAGACGCGCAATTTGCCGTTGGACTTGTTAACTAAAACTACGTTAGACAACCACGCGGGGTAATGACCTTCTCTTATGAATTTAGCTCGTATCAACTGCTCGACTTCTTTACAAATTACATTACTTCGCTCGGCGTCGACAGGCCGACGCTTTTGCCTCACAGGCCTATAA